AGTGGCTCAGTTGGTTAAGAGCTCGCTCAAGAGTTTGAGTTCTGAGCAACAGCGGTTTGAGTCCAGCCCGAGCTGAGCAGCCGCTGAGCTGCCAATAGGTAGCAGGATGGCTCAGCTAAAAAAAACCAAACAAACAAACAAACAAAAACCCAATACGTTAAAATCCTATCAGCTCAATACAAGGACAGTGATGCCCACCTGAATTTTGATCATGATTTCTTGAAGGGCCGCTAGCCTATAGCCTCACCCGCTCTTATAGCCTCACAGTCCATACCCTACACAGGGTCTTGGGTCTCTTGTCAGTCTGACTCTTAGGCTCACTTTATGCTGCGGTCACTTTAACATACACATGGGGGAAGATTTCACCTTCATAGTCCACGCTGTGACATTTCCTTTCCTTTCTCTTCTACCTACTATGGTCATTGCAAGCACACAATAGCTTTAAGTTAACAATTAAACTTTAGTACATTGAGAGGGAAGTGGGAGGCATCAGCAGTTGAGATGAATCTCACACCCACTCATGTTCTCCAGTTTTCTAACAGTTTCAATCATTGACATGGGCTTAATGGATATTCTAGGTGTCAGGGCACTGTGATCCCCTGGAACTGTATTAGTTACTTTATTTGATAAATATGCATCAGACACTTCCTATGTACCTGGCATTAGGCTTGGTTCTCAAAAGGTAGAAATGAACACGGAGCCAGCAAGGAGTTCATAGCTTAGTGATGAAACAGACAGTAAAAAAGTCCATAATGAGAACATGAGGGTGGACATATCTGAGCTGGATGCACTGCCTGTTAAGTCCTGACACTAAAAAATGTGCTGCTGATGAGGAAGACAGGCCATGTCCCCTGATCACAATATTTACATACGTTCTGTTACCTTTTTCTGATGGGACTTTCACCCCCTCCCAATTTTTTTGATCCCTTAGTTAAACTCCTGGAAGCTTCATCTTCCTCCTCATGCCCAGTACCTGACCAGAGCCACCCTGCACCCAAGAGGGCCTCTCAATGTAAGTATGTGGTCTGTTTAAAACTTGGGTTTGGCCTGCTGCAGAGAGGAGCTGCGAGAGCGAGCGTGCTGAGTCCATCCCCGTGCTGCCTATCTTACCACCCCAAGACGAGGTCCCGCCACATGGGGAGCTGATGACAAAGACAAAAGAGATTGAAGACTCCCAAATTCCAGGCTAAGCCAGACCTATGAGCACTCTGAAGCCCAGGCAACCTGTGGGCATTCATGCTGGGGTCACCATGCATAGCCAGCTGCCCATTCACCATCCCATTTAGGTGCTGTTGCTGTCCCAGTCGGGAGTAGTCCTTGAGAGTGTGGCTCCTAGAGCCAGACTGCTTGGGTTTTGACTCCTGGCTCCTACGCTCACTAGCTGTGTGATCTTGGACAAGTTACATAACCTCTCAAGTCTCAATTCCCTCATCTGTAAGACTGAAGTAATAATAGTACTTACTTCTCTCGTGGGATTGTCATGAGGTTTCAATGAATGAATGTGGTATAAATGGTGTGCCTAGAGGAGTAATGCTCTGTAAGTGTTAGCAATTATTTACTCAATAGGAAACAGCATGAAAAATAATTAAGACCTGATCTTTAATAGGAAGCTTATGTATAACTAGAGAGATGTAAACAGCTGTGGTCATAAGTTACTGTACTACAGGTAAATGATGGTATCATTAGAGGACAGGTAAAGCACGAGGGGTGTTGAGAAAAGCAAGTGGTGACTTTTTGCTGGGTGGGGTTCAGAGTGGGCTTCCTGAAAGATGATTAATGGTAAGTGGAGATTAAGGTGGGAAAGAGGTATTAATAAACAACACGGGATATGTATAGGGAACAGCAAGTTGCCGTACTGATTTTAATGCCAATGAGAGTAAAACATTCACACCCAAAGACACAGAGCTGCTTTTTGCTATTTGAGGACCTCTTAGCATGGACAATCAGAGCTGGCTGGTCATGTTGTTGGTTTTTTTTCTTCAGGGGCCACCAGTCTAACCTTTGACCTGAGGAGCCTCTCCTGTAGCCTGGAGGTGTCTGAGAATTGCCGGAAGGTGACTGTATCTCACTTTTCACAGCCCTATCCCTGGAGTCCCGAGAGGTTTACAACCTGCCAGGTCTTATGTTCCCAGGCTTTCTCTTCTGGGAAGAACTACTGGGAAGTGGACACACAGCATTGCAGTGACTGGGCAGTTGGCGTGGCTTCCTGGCGGATGAGCCGTGACCAGATCCTGGGAAGGACCAGGGACTCCTGGTGTGTAGAGTGGAAGGGGACTAGCCAGCTCTCCGCGTGGCACATGGTCAAGGAAACTGTCCTTGGCTCAGACAGACCTAAGGTGGTGGGCATCTGGCTGGACCTTGAGCAGGGGAAGCTTGCCTTCTACTCAGTGGCTAATCAGGAGAAGCTTCTGTATGAGTGCCCAGTCTCTGCCCCTTTTCCCCTGCATCCTGCCTTCTGGCTTTATGGCTTACATCCGGGAAACTCTCTGACTATAGGGCCAATAAAGGTGTAAAGGTTCCCCAGGTGTTGAAACAGGGTGGTTTCCTGACCTATCTCTCTGCCTTCAAGCAGGGTGGCAACGTGACAAGAATCTCACTCCCGAAGTTAAGGGGTATGCAGTAAAAGGGTTAAACTCTGCAGACTTGGGATGTGCAAACTGTACATTCCAAACAAAGGAAGGGGCCCTTGACTGGTTTCTGGGAGATAATCTCTTATCCCTGGAATATTCTGCCTGAAGAGAATGTCTTTGTTTACCTGGGGACCTTGGGCCAGGAGGTATCAGCTTGACCTCTGGAGGGGCTGGAAACTAAGGTCAGCCACATTGGCGGTGAGGTCTGCCTATGTGACTGACCCCTAATAAAAGCCCTAGGCACCAAGGCTTGGGTGAGTTTCCCTGGCTGACAATGCTCCTTCTACGTTGTCACACGCTGTTGCTGGGAGGATTAAGCATTGTCCATAAGGATTCCCTGGGAGAGGATAATTGGTGTCTCCTGGCGCCTGTCCTGTGTGCCTTTTTCTACTGCTGATTATAATCTATATCTTTTCACTGTAACCAACGATAACCAAGAATATAACAGCTTTGCTGAGTTCTGTGAGTCCTAGTGCCTCCCTGAACCTGAGAGTGGTTTTAGGGAACTCCAAACAAAGGGCATGTTATCATGTAATAATATTACCACAAACTTAGTGGTTTTAAACAACTCACATTTATTATCTCGGTTTCTGGGAGTCAGGAGTCAGGGCACCACTTAGCTGAGGACTCTGCTTGAGTCTCACAAGCTGCAGCCAGGGGGGTGAGCTGCGACCATGGTGTCATTTAAAGCTTGACTGTGGAAGGACCTGCTTCCAAACTCACACGGTTGTTGGCAGTTTCTTGTGGGTTGTCCAATTACGGGCCTCAGTTTTTTTGTGTGTGTATTGGTTTGATATGATTTCAAATCCACTTGTTTATAAATGAAGTGAAGTTCTGTTAATTCTGTTTGTGGCGAAGACAAAAAATGTTTTAGAAGTAAAGTTGTTTTGCTATAAGAATGAAGTAAGTTATGTCAGGATGTCATTATCTCATCGGTTTTTTGTGTTTTTTTTTAGATTTTTTTTTATTGGGGAGTTGGGGAAGGGGAACAGCCAAGCTGTTATCATTCAATCTTAGTTGTGGCAGGTGTAGCCAGCTCAGCTCCAACTCCAGTCACCCTCTGGCTCCCCGATGGCAGCTCAGCTCAAGGCGGTGTTCAATCTTAGTTGCGGGTGGGTGTAGCCCACCATCCCATATGGGAGTCAAACTGGCAACTTTGTTGTTAGGAGAACGTGCTCTTACCAGCTGAGCCATCCCGTCACCTGTTGGCAGCTCAGCTTGAGCGCAGCATCACTGGCCCATGTGGGAATTGAACCGGTGACCCTGCTGCTCAGAGCTCGCGCTCTTAACCAACTGAGCCACTCGGCCAGCCCTCATCTGTTGTTGATAAGCACTCAGTAGCTCAGCTGCTAAGGGCCCCCTTCAGGGACGGGGGAGGGGAACTTCATCAATAAGAACATGTGGAGAAGCAATTATGGCAGGAAGGTACTTAGACTATAAATACTGAGAGTTTGTGAGGAATATCTGAGAGTTTTGTTCTGGGCAAGGGGGCACTAAAAAGCTCCCCGGAGATCTCTGGGGCATTAACTCCTGCAGTGGTAAAGGTGACTGTTACTAGCAGTGGCGAAAGCCTTGAAGCTGCCTCTTGAAGGAGATCACCTTGCCCAACACTGACTGGCGCCATGGTTCCCTAGCAACGTGCTCTAGCAACAAGGGACTTTTACTTTTGTGCTGGCAGCTAGATGTCAGCTCTTGGTTGCCTAAACCGTCTCTTCTAAGTACCAACTGGTATAAAGGTACATCTCAACTAAATTTGGACTATTCCTTTCATCTCCCCTTGCCTGGAACAATAGTGTAATTAATCTGTCATCGGTTTGGAGTATGTTATTTCTTTATTGGCTTATTAAGAGACATCCTGTATTCGTTGGGTTGTGAAATTATTATAATTCCCATAGTGAAGCTGTGTTAAATAAACTGTTGTGAAAGACAAACTCAGTCTCTGAACATAATTTGCCCGCAAAACAAAACAGGTCGGGGGTCGTGAGGGCCATCTTCCAGTCTGGCCAACACAGGGTGTCATTGCATACTTGATTTCCCCTATTTTTAAAAATAATTTTGTCATAGAACAGATACAGATACAGGAAACTACACAAGACACATGTGGAGCAGAATAAATTATTATAAGGTAAACACCCTTGTTCGCTACTCTTCAGGTCAAGAAATAAAAGCTTGCTACTCACCCAGAAGCTCCTTCATGTGCCCCATTCCAATTACAAAACCCTCCCTCCACCTGAAAGGAGTCCTGACTTTTACAGTGGTCACTTCTTGGCGTTTCTTTAGAGTTATGCATCCCTAGCCATGAGAGTTTAGTCTTGCCCATTAAAAAAATAATAAAAAAATGATGTCTCTTTTTTAACAGCTTCGTTGAGATGAAATTTCTATACTATAAAATTCACCTATTTAAAGTGTACAAATCAATGTTATTTAGCATATTTACAGAGTTGTGAAACCATCACCATAATCTAGTTGTAGAACATTTTCATCATCCCCAGGAAGAACCCTCATACCCATTAGCAGTTGATATGTCTTTCAAGTCTCATCTGCACACCTCCGCCTCCTTTTCTTTTTCTTACAATTCATCTGTAGGACCCCAGGGTACATTCGCACCTATTTTGCAGATGTGGAAATTCAACTCTGTTGGACTGGATTGAGACTTGACACACAAACCAGCCTGGCAACCTTTGACAGTGCATGTAGCCTCTTTTGTCTCTTTTTCCCCTGTAAAATGGAAATCGTTATTTTCTCTTCCTTCCCTTCCTTAAAAGGTTGCTGAAAGAATTAAATATAAGGGTTGCTGAGAAAACTGGAAAAATGCCAGGGTGATGATAACCACAGCAATAATGACAGAACTGTATTTTAACATCACGCACCTTGGCCTCTACCATCTTGAGATTCACGCCTAATATTGGGACATATCCTTGAAAACAGAGGCAAGCAGAATTCTTCAGCACCATCTACTAAGTTGCTCTCTGAGCCTCAAGACCACCCCGTGTGATGGGCTTCACTATATGTTAACACACAAGGAAATGGAGTTCAGAACACGGTCAGTTGTTTGTCCAGGATCTATCAGCTGAGCATGACAGAGCAGGTAACAGGTCCCCTTTTCCTACTCTCAAGTCTATAGCCTTAATACACTCTGATAAGGTTCCATGCTGCCACCAGGACCCGGCCCTCCACTTTGATAAATGCACAGCTAGCTCTAAAGCCATGAGGTGCTCCTTTTTTCTGGTTGTCGATAGTGGTGGCCTTCAGTTAGTGTCATGGCCTTGGGTTGTCCCAAGACAGGGCTTTTCTCTTTGTGCCAGATGACCATTGAAAGGCTCTGTGTTCTCACATTCTGTGTTATGGCGCTTTTGTCTTCTCACCCAGAGTCACCTTGACGTTTGCCTTTTAAAAGTGTTGAGAATTTAGAGGCCAAGGTTTTAGCCTCTTGAGGGGCTTTGGTTAAATACCATCCTGTCAGGTGGTTTGGATAATGGGGCCTCTGTGAGCACTGGGTTTATCGGCTGGTCACATGATTTCCGCAGACTGGAGGCGAAGCCCAGGAATCATAAAGGTAGAGAATGAAGGTTATCACTTTTGGTTTCCTTTGTCTCTGAGTCTGGAGTTTTCTGTCAGTGTATCCCTTTCAGTACACTGTGAAAAATGGCACCCTTCCCTGAAATGAAACATACAATCCTCCAGAGGAGTGCTGAAGCTGAAATGCCTCTTTTCAAATGAAGATGAAGGACCTCCCACTGGGGTCTGCACCCTGTGAGAGAGGAAACCATCCACCCACAGATTAAGCCTGAAGGGCTGGCTTCCCATGGGGAGCAAAGGCACTTCCCCTGGGAAGAGCATCAGGGACTCTGTGGGCAGCTTCTCACCCCATCTGGAGATGTTTCTCTCAGACTTGTGTTTTCTTTCAGGCCTTGTCTCTTTTAAGTGCCTTATTTTCCTGGGGGTCGGGGAGAGGGGAGTAGCATTGTCAGTGATGAAAGCTACCTCTGTCTATCTCTCCTGCTCTTCTCTGTCTCACACACTCACACACTCACCCTCACCTGCTGGGCAGGCAGCTACTGGAAGGCTCTTGTTGAGGAAAGAACACCCAGCCTAAGAAAAAGTCTTAAAGAATTTATTTGAGCCACACTAACAACAGTTGCCAGGGAGAGAACTGTGGATGAAAAAGGGGCCGCATACTAAACCTGACAAGCTCAGGGGAGGCCTGCATGGTAGGCCCTGCAAACTCAGACTGAAAGTAACCACGTAGGATGGTTTAATTAAAAGCGAGTCGTGGCGGGCAGTCACATCCTAGGCCTGTAGCTTCCTTGACAAAAGTCAGTCTTTACCTTAAGTGAGCCTGTCTATTGTCTTTTTGCATCTAAGATAACGTGCCTTTGAAATGTCAGAGCAATCCCCTTTTTGGGGATCCCTCAGGGTACAACCTCCCAACAGAGCAGGAGACCACAGAACCCTTCATTAACTTATTACCCACATACCATCGCTATGTTCGGTAAACGTTAACTGTCCTGTACCCACCCATGTAAAAGAAGCATGTGTCTCTCCGTTTTATGTTTGTATCCAATCCCAGATATTTACCTGCTTTGCTTTCTCCCACCCCCTTGATGTACCACCAGTGGGTTTCGTGTAACCCTTCTTATGTCTCCTTTGATTTTGTGTATAAAATAAGCTTGCAAAACTGCCATTCTCTAGAGCATTTTCTTAATCTATTGAGATTTTGCTTTCTGGCACCTGCCATCAGTTTAGCTCAAAAAAACTCTTAGACTTTTTCTTAGGCTGGACGTTCTTTCTTTAACACACTGTTGTGCCCATTATTGGGGTTCCTGACTTTGGGTTCCTGAAAGAACCACCTGCTACGCAGGAAGCCACTACCTTCTTAGGTTCACAGCAATCTCTAATACAGTTATATGAGTACAAGGTCTGACAATTAAGCTAGCGAACTCACCCTAGAAAAAAGTGCTACATACCTCATGGCTGAATATCACTATGGTCACCTTCGAAGTACTCCCCTTGGGAAGCTATGCACTGACACCAGCACCTAGTCCACCCTTCAAAGTAATTTTGGAACTCTTTTTCTGGAATGGCCCTCAGAGCTGTCATCGTATTACCCTTGATGTCTTGAATGTCATCAAAATGTCTTCTTTTCAATATTCCCTTTATCTTTGGGTAAAGAAAGAAGTCATTGGGGGTCAGATCAGGTGAGTAGGGAGGGTGTTCCAATACAGTTATTTGTTTACTGGCTAAATACTCCCTCACAGACAGTGCCGTGTGAGCTGGTGCATTGTCGTGATGCAAGAACCATGAACTGTTGGTGAAAAGTTCAGGTCGTTATCATCTTTTTTATGCAGACTTTTCAGCACTTCCAAATAGTAAAGTTAGTTAACTGTTTGTCCAGTTGGCACAAATTCATAATGAATAATCAATCCTTCTGATATCAAAAAAGGTTAGCAACATTGTTTTGACTCTTGATTTGGACTGACAGAACTTTTTTGGTCGTGGAGAATTGGCTGACTTCCATTGTGCACTTTGACACTTTGTTTCAGGGTCGTACTGGGACACCCATGTTTCATCACCCATGTTTCATTCCAGTGATAACATGGCTCAAAACATTGTCTTGCCTCCAGAAGGTCTTGGCAAACTTCGACTCTCCTTTAGCTTTTGTTCATCGGTGAGCTCCTTCAGGACCATTTTTGCACACACCTTTCTCATGCCAAGATTTTCAGTTATCATTTTCCTAACTGTTTGTCTATTGATGTTTACTTGATTTGCTATGCTTCTCATAGTCAGCCAACGATTTTGACACACAATTCAATGAATATTTGAAATGTTTTTGTCAGTTCTGCTCGCTACTGGCTGCCCTGACCGCTCTTCATCAGTGACACGTTCTTTCCCCTGAGAAAAATGTTTAATCCATGTGTACACTGCCGTTTTCTTCATGGCATTATCCCCACAAGCTTGGACTTACATGTCCCTGATTTCACTTCCACTCTTGCCAAGTTTAACAAGAAATT